CAATGATGCCAGTGTGTTTGAATTAAGATAATGAATAATTCAACTCGTCCACTAAAAGACAAAAAAGAAAAAAAAGTGACTTTTATGGTTTTTCCATTATGCTGAGATGCTTGGGGATTAAAAACAAATATTTGACGTTTAGTAGAACTCTGAGCTACTCACTTGGGTAGTTCCGTTATATGTCTACAGCCACCACTACCCATATACCCCCAACAATATCACCATATTTTGGATATATATTGTTTATTGTATAGATTTGTGGTCTTCACATTTTTCTGATCATGCTCCTAATCAGTAAAAGATTGGGGGGCATCCACTCCTAATATCTATAAATTTACTGATAAACTATGTACCTCTACTATTATTAATATCTGTATATTTTTCTTTTTTCAAAGGTAAATGAAATATAAATAGAAGTTTGAATAATTAATTTCTTCCCATACTCCAGTGACGTAACCCGTGCATCCCACTTTGGGGAGATCTGTAGATCACAAAACCCTATTAACAACTACTTTAATTTTGTATTCCAAGGTCTCTCCCCTGTCCCCTACCATAAATTTCCTTATATGAGGTTCATGATATCCCTGAGAGGCAGAAGGGACAGACAGTGTTATTGCCATGGCACCACTGGGGAGAGTGAAGCCCTGAGAATTCTTGGCTCTTCACAGCATTACCCAGAGAGTGGTGGAATTTGGACTAGGAGCGGGATGGCCTGGCACTTCCCACTATATTTGGGAGCTTCTGGTCAAATACCAACAGCATTATGTAATTCTTAAAGTTGGGCCAGCCTGGCTTCCAATTCCAGCTCCCGTTCTTGGTTGCTATGTGTGCTCAGATGGGTTACTCAATCGTTCTGAATCTCAGTTTTCTCATCTGTAAAATGGAGAGAATTCTATCTGCCTCACATGGTAGTTGTAAGAAATAAAAATGAGATCAAATAGAGTAAAATCTAATATAGAGGACAAAGCAGTCAATAAATGTTAGTTTTCTTTTCCTTCTTATTCCTGCTTCCCTAGCCCATTATATTGACGTATGTGATAAAGCAATTTTGGGAAGGCAGGGGAAGAAGCAGTAATTGTGAACAGCCTATGAAATATAGTTTTATGTATTTAATTTTAAGTGCAGGAAGTCCTATGAACAATATTAATCTTGTCTCTAAGTCTGTCTCATATTTAGACAGGTCTTTGGCCTCTAGGTGGGCAGTGCTGTTACAGTGAAAGCAAAACAGGCCAATGCTTTTGAAAGCAGTGTGGTCCACACAGACCTCGGGTCTCTTCCACTTTTTTGGTATCAAATGTGATGCCACACTGAAATGTTTCGTAAGTGTTCCCATAATATTTAGCTAATATTCAGCTCTTTAATTTGTAATAAATTTTTCTTCCTTATCTCTACCTAAAGGAGAGGAAAAGAGTTTTTGTATCTAAACAACTCCATCGGGATGGGAAGAACCAGGTAGCCTGGGCACCAGAGAATCCTATAATTCATATGTGTCCTTGTCTGTGAATAAAATTCCTATAAACGTAAGATATAATAACACATCTTTACAGAGCTGGCCTACTGAATGCCTCCACCTGTTTCTAATTTAAGTGGGATTGTTCTCTCAGGAGATTCCATTCTCCCTTAAAAAACACACATGTACAAACACAAAACTTGATTTAAATGAAACAGACACCTTAAGAATCTTAACAAGTAGGGTTGACCTTTGAACATGCTTCTACAAAAGTGTATTGTGCTCCCCGAGTGCTGCCAGGAAGCCTCGGACAGATCAGTGCATTACAGCCCCCTTCCTGAACTTCTACGAGCACAGATAGTAGATCCAGACGGGAACAGAGTCCATGAGACCCAAGTGCAAGGGTGACTTGGCCCAAATCCATCGGCGCCGTTTCTCCCACTGTGCCAGGCTGTAATCGAGAGCCCTTCTCACTAGCATGTCTCAAAATGTGCTACCTCTCATTGGACAGTAGCAAGGCCTTTCAGTGCAGAGACCAGGGGAGGTCACCTTTCTGGGTAAACAGAACATGTATGTACAGTGACATACATGCATGTGCAGGGACATATTTGGACCCATGTAGCTCTCCGTGCATGCATGCTATTGACTAAGACTCTGGGTTTATTGCAATGCCACAGATGGATTTTAGGGAATGAGACAATAGAACAAAATACATGAAATCTACTCTGAGAGCAATTTACTGTTTTGTTGATGACATGTTGATATCTTAAAAACGGGTTGGGCCTTCTTTTGAACTTCATTTCTCATGGTTTTGCCCAAGGCAAAAGTGCTGCTTATCACGCATTGTCCAGAATAGGCAGATCCATAGAGACAGGAGTGGATTAGTTGTTGCCAGGAGTGGCTATTTACTGGGGACAGGGTTTCTCTGGGGATAATGAAAATGTTCTGGAATTAGATAGTGGTGATGGTTGCACAACATGGTGAATTTACTAAAAGCCCCTGAATTGTACACCTTAAAATGGTTAAAATGGTGAATTTTAATGTTAAGGGAATTTTACCTCAAATTACCTCAATTTTACCTTTAATGTTAAGGGAATTTTACCTCAAAAAGAGAGAGGGACCATGAACTAAGAGTGTTAAGTGTGGGCACAAATGTCAGATCTCCTAAGTGCTAGAGAACCGAAGACTGACTGCATCCCGAGGATGGCTGAGAGGTGCTCCCAGGGCCTGGGGCAGGGCTAGGAAAGACGATGGTTTGATTCCAGCACCGGAAAGAAGCAGGTGAGGAATCTTGGGGTCAGGACAAGTGGGAACACGCTGAGGCAGTGTGCACACAAGAGTGTCCAGAAAGCACCCACTCACCTTTCTCTGGCCACTGGCCCCTGCTCACCTGCCCCAGTTTGGCTGTTTTTTCTGACGCTAGATTATGTTCTGGTGAATAACAGCAGGGAGTGCTCCCTAAAATGCGTAGGACTGATGTCCCAAAGCACAGCCTCTGCTTTTCTTTGCCTGGGATAGAATCCAGCCTAGGTGAGTCCTCGTCCTGATGCCACGAGGTATCGCTCGAGCCGCTGTTCACCGCTATGAACAGCCCTGGGGTCGCTCCAGGTAGCCTGGACCAGCAAGAAAGCGCAGGACGCCAACTGTCCCAGTTTCCGTGGCCAGAACTTCACCCACATATGTTGACATAATGTGCATTTCTCCCTGACAAGCAAGCCCAGTGTCGTTTCTGGGTTGAGTACAAGAGGAAGCCAGTTTATTTCTAAGGTAAATGAAATTGCACTTTTTATTTGGGAAATGAGAAAGTTGAGGCTGAGTAACTGATGAAGACTTTTTTTTAATCAGCTCTCTTATGAAACATTAATGTCAAGCCTAAATTTGGAAGTGTCATGTAAAAAGTTTTTTATTTTGCTCGTACAGCAGGACCGAAAGGGTCTCCTCTGGCATAAACTTTTTTGTCTTGAAAAATACCAGTAATGAATGCTATGAATTTCTGTATTGGAAAATTTGAATCACCCTGAGTTCCTTGATGAAAATGTGAAATTAATTTTGTACTAAATAAAACTTGAAAGTGGTTTCAGTTACGGGGGTGGGGAGACGTGAAATGAAGACAGTAATCCACTGTATCGTATTCTCGTTTCATTATTCTGAATTTTTTTTTTAAAGATTTTATTTATTTATTTACTTGAGAGAGAGAGAGAGAGAAACAGCATGAGAGGGGATAGGGTCAGAGGGAGAAGCAGGCTCCCTGCCGAGCAGGGAGCCCGATGCGGGACTCGATCCCGGGACTCCGGGATCATGACCTGAGCCGAAGGCAATCGCTTAACCAACTGAGCCACCCAGGCGCCCCTGAATTTTTTTTTAAATCATCATTTCTAGATACTGTACCACTTCATAAAGACATTGAGATTGTGACCATTGGAGGTTGTGGTGATACTTAATACAAACCTGTCACCTTATAAAGAGTCGGTTAATGCTTTGGGCTGGTGGGGGAAGGGAAGGCAGAAACAAGTGTTTATAGAGCATCGTTTGTATGCCAAGATCTGGGCTAGGAGATTTCACATATGTTCTCTCGTTTAATACTCATGACTGTCTGAGATAAATACTGTTATCTCTGTTGTTTCAGATGGAAAATGAAGGCTCAAAGAGATCATATAAGATGACAAAAGTGACAGAGATTGTAAACCGGCAGAAGGGGAATCCAAGCTCGGGTGTTTCCCTCCCACTCTAAAGCCTGCTTTTCTTTGCAACCTCGAACCCATCACTGGGGAAAGCCAGACAGCAGGCTCCACGCCCCACACAGAAGGCCTTTCTCCAGACCTTCCCCTTCGTCAGCTTGAGCGCACTCCCTGACACCTTACTCTGGCCTGGGTTCCAAATTTTCGTCACCATCCCTGTACCCACAGAGCTGAGCCTTCTGAGAGAGTCCCCATGATATTCTAGGAACTGCGGTCTGGGGACAAAAGTGAACAAAGCGCAGCTCCGCTCTCTAAAAGCTCAACTTGGATGATGAACTTTGCAGCACTTAACCTCAATGTCTTCACTCAAAATGGTGATAATGATTCTTGGCCCTAAGGACTATGGCGTGGGTTAAAGTAGTGTCAGGTGTCTCGCACGAGGCCTGGCTTGAGAGAGGAAATCCAACTATATTAGTTCTCTTCCACTACCTCCAGTTTTTGGCAAGAGACAGAAGAGAACCTTCCTTAGAAGTGTTAAAAGGCAAGATGGAGTGGGCGTTAGACAGTATTGGGGGGTTTTCTTCCACTGCCTGCTACCAAAATCTTGGTGGACTCCCATCAGATCTGAAAGTAATGCCGCTTCTAACCACTGGGGTAATTTGAAGACAGCTTTGTGGTGGGATTTTCAGATTGCAGGATGAGTCCTGAGTGGAAATAAATGGCTTCTTGGCCACAGTTTGCAGGTGATGCCACTTGGGGTCCCAGACTCTCTACTCTGTCAAAAATGGGTCCAAATCAGAGCAGGAGAGGGGAAACATTTTCCTCACTCTAACATTCAACTCTGCTGTTGGTCAAAGGAACCCCTTTTTAAGGAGCCAGCATGCTCAGAATGAAATGGAAGCTGCGTTGTTGAAGGCAGAGCAAAGACAGTCATTGCAAGCAGTGAGGGGCCCCTCCCAGGGACCTGACAAGTGAAGAAAAGTCGAACAAAAGAGTGAGTGCTGGTGTATGTGAAGATGAAGAGCTGGGATGTTCTGAGCTTGGAGAGCTTGGTGGGGGCCCAGGGCCGAGGTTTACCTGCGGTCCTGAGCCCGGGGGGTGCCAATCACTCACTACTCTGCCTTTCCTAAGTTAATCAGAGCAGGTCCACCCTGTCCTCTCCTGCCGCCCCATAAGGCAAATAGAAGGAAGGACACAGGAAATTGAACTTGTAGGGTATGTTGGGCACAAAGAACTTGGTGACCTTATTTCCTTTGGCCCCCAGGGCTACTCTAAGAAATACCTGGGGTTACTCTTCCCATTGTGCTGGTAAGGAAACTGAGCTTCTGGTGGATAAGAGCCTTTTGTCTTGTAGGTGTGTCTGCTTGTAAACCGCAGAACACATAGATAGAATTTGGCATTGTGGGTGAGGGAATACCTTCTGTTTTCGCTAAGGACCTCACCCCAAAGAACGTGTCCCTTAATCCAGTCCCTAATTCGCAATCACTGCTTGTGGGTCATATCATATGGCTCATCTGCGTATACCGCAGGCTCATTACTTTGCAACTTAGAAAATGCTAGGGAGCCATAGTAACGATCCAAGTCCATTTAGGTTTGGCAAATCAACAAGTTTTTCGAGCCCATTGAAGACAAATCCAGACAAAATGCAAAGGGCTTGAAAATGATCACTACGATTTGGAAATGGAGGGGAGGTTTTAAGTAGACTCTTCATCCCACATCCCCAGTGTCCTGGATTCAAGTTGCCTTTAGCTTCCTTATCTTAAAGACAGTGATGAAACCTCTTCCTGCCACTCTGGGCTTACTGGCAAAATGGGTTTTGGAGTGTTCCTTGGAATCCCAGGGTTCCTTGAAGGATCCCCATGGATGCTTTCCTTGGGGAAAGGCTATGGTGAATCCAAAGGGTCTCCCAGATGTTTCCCCCTCACACACCTCTTCCCTCCCCTCACCCACCTACACTTTAATGAGAACAACCTTGCTTTTACTGGTTTTATGTATTGGCCTTCCCCTTTTGCTTTAATTTAGAAAAGCTACATTGCAACTAACAATAGTTTTAAAATCAAGGCGGTAAGGAATGGTGGTTTGGAATCTAATACAAAAAGCCCTCCTCTGGGGAGATTTACCTGAAGGTTAACAGCTTAGAGAGTTTCGAGGGGGGGATGGGCCAGAATTTAGGGAAGCATGGTTCACTTTCCAAAATCATGTCAGCTTTCAGAACTGAAAAGGAACAAAACCACTATGAATACAGAATATATCAGAAAAAGAACAAAGTGTGGCAACACCACCAGTGAGATCAGACTCCCTTTAGCCCACAGACTTACTGATTGGAGTTTTCTGATGAGGCAGACAGACTCATGGAAGGCTGCCAGGAAATTCTGGACATCAAATTGCTTTTGCTAAGCCAGCCCAGCGGTATAGTAAAGAGCTAAGGAGTCCCAAGAGAGGGGTGGGAAAGGATTGGTCTCTGTTTCTCTACCCCTGATGTGGGCCTTTTTCGATTAGGAAGTGGAGTGTGAAGGAAGTTATCGGGGGTGAAATCAACTCAGCAAGAAACCTTTTTAGACCAAAGCCCAAGGAAAACTAATAAAACCAGTTGGACTGCTTCATGCTTATCATATGTTGTGCATGTAGGTCAGCTCGCTTTACAGCAAAGACAGACACCCCCAAAACAAAACACTCAGTTCTACAGAAAGATTTCCAAGCCCCTAAATGATGGCCTGGTTCTTTCAAGGGGCATTTGCTACATGAAACTCAACTACAAGCAAATATCTGACACACTATTTCTAAATTAATGATTGAAATGAAATGTTGCCTAGTCTGTGGACTGGGGATTATATTGGGCTGGGAGGAACAAAGCCCCCAAAAGCAGAGCCTTAAACAAATTACTGGTTCTATTTTTCTTTGACAATGAGCAGTCTGGAGGCACACAGCTGCTGACCTTGGAACCATGGCTCAGGATGTCAGGGTCCAGATTCTTGGTGATCTCTTGACTTTCTTCTCTGCAGAGCAATGGTTGCCCCCGCCCCCCCCTTCTCCTCTGGCATCTCTTTCATGTTCTAGATAGGATGAAGGGGGTAGACAAAGAGAGAAACTGCAGGAGATGGCTGAGTCTGCGCTCCTCCTTTTCCTACTCCCATCCCCACATCTTAAGGGGCTCTCTGGTAACTTCATCCAACAACTTCTGCTTATATAACTTAACTAGAACCATGCCACATGCCATGCCACCTGAAGAGGAGGGTTGGAAATGTAGTCTTTTGGCTGGGCATCTGGTTGTTGCCAACAAAATCGGGGTTCGTTTCCAAGGTATAGGGGGAGAGGGCATACCATCCTGACGGTAGAAGTGGCTACCAGACCTAGCGGAAGATTCCCTCCTCTTTACTCCTTGGGACACATCCGTAACTCCTCCTGGCCTCTAGTCAACATTTTCTAGAACTCTGTTCTCACTGTGGTTTGCTTTCTCTGTTTGTAGTGGGTTCTGATGTTCTTCATGACCTCAGGTTCCTCACTGGAGTATCATACGGTGCGATATCACGTCATCCTCTAGCTAATGAGGGTTACAAGTGTGTCTCATGCTGAGTAGCATCTCTGTACGTGGGGAATGTTGAATTCAACTCTTGGCTGATGAAGCAATCTGTGCCGGGCTTGGGAAAGCTCACGGGTGACTCTGGGGCTTCCTTTCAGGGTTTGCCGTCACAAGGTTGAAAGCGCACCAATGCCAAGTCCACAGTTTGTTCAAGTGTAGCGGCTGTCCATGGACACAGCTGAGGAATGTTTCACACTTAAACTCGGGTTGTGTTTTTGTCCCCTCCTCAGTAGCAGGTGACCTCAAATCCTACTTTGCCAAAAGAAGATAAGGTCGTTTGACTTGAAGCGTCCTTTGTGCTTTAGAAATCCACATATTTTTATCCTTCCTCTTTGTTTCATTTCGATTCTGAGGAATCCAGTCCTTTGTTTGTTCCGATGCTTGCCTCCCCACCCCCCACCATGGCTCTTGACCCCGCCCCTCTCACCTCCTCCAGTGCCTTGTTTTACCATCTAGCCCTCTCTCCCTTGCCTTTGCAGCCCCTTCACCTCAAGGAGCACCTTCTCATTTGTGTACGGACCATCAGGCTACTCCTCACTTTGTCTCCTCCCTTTTCCAGCAGTCTGGTTGTATCTCTCCTGCGGAGGTCCCATCTCCTGATCTCTTGGTGGATGACCCTCTCTGCCCGGCGCTTGCTTGCTCTCTCTCTCAGTTCCGGTACCCACTCTCTCCTCTTCGCACTTAGGAATGGTAAGTGCTCAGAAAAAGACTGAAGTTTAACAACTGTTGGCTATGGATTGGGGAAATAATTGGTGACTTTTTTAAAAGGAATCTGTTTCTTTATTCTTGTATATATTTTCTATTTTTTTACACCAAGCATATTATTTTTAATCAGAAAAATAGCTTAAAGTTGGATAAATGTCTCTCTACCTAGAAAAGCAAGTGGGTAAGAGCAAGAGAGACAATAGAAGTCAAGAGAAGTGTAGTCAAAATTTCCATAAAATGCCAACCATAATGCTTACTCTCCATACCTCCCAGGGCTTTTGGGAGGGTTAAATAAATTAATATATGTTAGAATGATTCTTCTTAAATTATCTGTGGTAAGGACCAGTTTGTTTCTTTTTTTAAGAAATGAATTAACTAAAGTGCCTGGTTGTTTAGATTTCCTTAGTTTTTACCTAATGTCCCTTATCTGTTCTAGTATCCCCTCCAGGATACCACATTATATTTAATCAGCTTGACTCCTTAGCTCCTCTCAGCTATGGCATTTTTCAGACTTGCCCTTTTTTGCTGACTTTGACAGTTTTTTTTTTTTAAAGATTTTATTTATTTATTTGACAGAGAGAGAGAGAGCACAAGTAGGCAGAGTGGCAGGAAGAGAGAGAGGGAGAAGCAGACTTCCCGCTGAGCAGGGAGCTGGATGTGGGGCTCGATCCCAGGACCCCCGGATCATGACCTGAGCCAAAGGCAGCCGCTCAACCCACTAAGCCACCCAGGCGCCCCGACTTTGACAGTTTTAAGGGGCAATGGGCAAGTATTTTGTAGAATGTCCCATTATTGGAATTTATCTGGTATTTTTTCTCATGAGAAGACTGGGGTTATGAGCTATTGGGACCAAGACTACAGAGGCCATCCTCATCACATCGTATCAACGGTACAAACTAGCAACATGATTTATGACTGTTGATGCTGACCTTGAACACCTGGTTGGAGTATTTGTTTCTTTCTGATTTCCATTCTGTTTATATGTGCTCCTATTGCATATAGCTCAGACACAGTTCGTGCCCATGCAACTCATTGGGCAAGTGCAACCAACGAGCTGGCTTGTCATGCATGTAGATGTCACAGCCATGTCAAATTGCCAGAAAGTTTCCATCACTTGCTCTCAACTTTGCCAGCTTATCTTATCACAGGCCAGTAACAGTCTGCAGACTGGCCTGGGTCCATAGCCACACTTCAAGTAGCTCTGTGCTAACGCACACAGCACAAGGAGGCTTTAAGAAATCATTTGAAATCAAACTGAGCATGATTCAGAAACAAAAGGTGAACTTGGGTTGGAATCTTGAAATCATGGCAGTGAGAATGGGAAAGGGTCTTGGGGGAGAAACTTTTCAGTTCCCTCGTCCTACATATGTGGAGTGTGAGCCTCAGGGGAAAGAAGAGGGTGGCCTCCCATGGGAATGTGGTGGCAAAGCCCATGCTAAGCCTGGTATCCTGCTCCTAACCAGGGCTCTTCCCATCATGACACTCTGATTGGAATCACTGAAGGTCTACCCGTGAAGAAGAGCAGGGAAGAAAACAGAGGTGGAATGGGGAGGGGGCTTAGATCTACAGCAAAGCTAAATTTGTCCCTGACTTTCTGACCTTCTGCTATCTTGTGAAAACTTAAATGAGCAGCTGAGAAAACCAAGAGGTTTAAGGAGAGGCAGAGGTGCTTACTTGGATATAATTGGTATTCTGATAATTGGAGGTAATTTATGCTTTCAAGATAAATAAGTTAGTCTCCCTTTGGCACTGTTCCATCTGTCCTGTCTCAGTGCAGGTCAGAGAGAAAGAAATCCAGGGCTAAGGATGGAAAACAAATCAGTAACTGGGGGAGTTGTCCCCTCCCCTCCCCTGTCCACTTTTACTTTCCTTACAAAGAAAAAAAAAAGAAAGAAAAAGAAAAAAAAAAAAGATGGAACGGAGATGTGGGTGAAGGGCTAGGGAAACAAGAAATCAGGGGCTTAGGAGAGGTTTACTCATCTGACTCCTTTTTCTGTGGAAATATATTTAGGATTAAATTAGACATGACATTTAGTAGACTCCCAGTGGAAAAATATTTTCTTATACCTGAAGGGGCTCTGGGAAAATGGAACAGCCTGGCAACCAGGCTTGCCTGGCCAGAATATGGTGGGAAGATTAGGTCCCACAAAGTAGAGCATAATAGGCTGTACAGGATCCGAAGTGTGATGGAAGAGTGGACTCTGGGGCTGCCTGCTTATTAGCCGTCCCTCATTTATTTTTCTCTGATTTTGAAGTTTTTATCTTTAGAAGGGAAAGATGGTATAAGAAATGGATGTATCTGACCAGGATGTTATCAGTCCTACTTCACACATTTCCACGACCACCCATTGCCTATGTGATGAAGCCCCTGCCCCTCACCATGGCACACCGGGTACCCCACAACCTGGGCTAGCCTCCTCTATGTCACTTTCCACCTCTACCCTTCTGCACCTGTTCTTTCTTCATCCTGGAAAGCCCTCCCTCATCCCACATTGTTGAAATCCCATTCAGTCTCGAAGCTCCAGTTCAAACATGCCCTCCTCTTGAGAAGCCTAATCCAACTCCTTAGGCTCAGTCAATAGCCCCAATCCCACCCCCTGCTGCCTATTGAAAGTGTCTACAGCCCAGCACTTAACAACATCGTTTTCAACAATCATTTATATGCAAAACATCTACAGAGTGCTACTGTGTGTCAGGCACAGTGTAAAGGGCTTTACTTAACTTTCTTATTGAATCCCAGGAGGATCTAGCAAGTGGGAACCAGGATTACCTAACTTCTGCTGATGGAAAGGAGAGCCTCTTAGAAGCCAGGTAGTTTGCTCACAGTGATAATGGTCTATGGAAGAGGGGTTTAAACCCAGGACTTTCTACTATTGGATCCTCTCCCTAACTGAACTACCCCACTCACCACACTCAGCCCCGCGTTGGTTATCCATGGACCTCACTCCAGCTCCAGGCCCCCTCTGGGCTGCAGCCTTCTTGGGAGCAGAATCCCCATCATTGTTCTGAGTTGCCCTTGGCTCTGGCCCACAGAAGGAGCTGGGGACTATTTGTTGGCCGATGTAAACTTGCTTGCTTGAGCTCTCTCTCAAAATCTTATCACGGTTGGTGTGGCCTTTGACTCAAAAGTCTGTAGCTGATGCTGCTCACATAAGGAACAGCCGAGCAGTCAGGAAAACCCACAGTTGAGTGTTAGGGGCTGGTATGTGATTTCCTTGTTACTCAGGGCTTTGATGGTTAGAAACAGAAGGCTTTTGAGTGCAAATGAAGCCTTTTTCTGAAAGACCAAACTAACCTCAGCTCTGTCCCTCTCAGATCTGCTGCAAAACTTGAGACTTTTCATATCAGTCTCTCCCCGGCTGGCCTGGGCAGCGATCTGTTTTGAGTCTAAATCACCACCAAGCACTTGGTAGCTTATGCACCATCAAGGGTGTATTTGGAAGCCACTGGGTTGCCTCTTGGTTTCTCTCTTGTCCACGGACCAATCCCAACTTCTAGGCTTTTGAAGTAGCTTGAAGAATGGAAAGGCGTGCCTGAAACAAGAAATTCAAACACACGCACACACACACACACACAAAACTTTTATTTGTGTGTTTGTGGATATGCGCTTACCTCATCAATTTTTATTGAGTCTCTAAACGGAGTTCGTTGGCATGTCCTTGAGCGGAAACAGAAAGTGAAGGTCTTTGAAGCCAAGATTCATGGCGTCCTCGGAGCCAGAAGGGCCTTCGCCACCAGGCTCCAGGCGTGTTTCCCTTACCTTGGAAAAAAGTAATTCTCAGCTATTCCCACGCATTTCTTTTCCCTCATAATGCTAGCAAGCTTTCCCCACCCAAACCCCACTGGGGTTTTAAGTACAATTATAGGACATTCGTAATTTAATTTGGAGGACTAGCCTCTTGACAGTGCTGATTCTTCCCAGTAGGAACATCGTGTATCTTCCCATTTTTTCACGTCCCTCAATCAGATTTTAGATTTGTTTCGATGCAGGACTTGTGCATTGCTTTCACTGTATTTCTCAAGGTTTTGTACTGTTGTGGCAATAGTTGGGGTTTAATGTTGAATTTGTGCTCTTTTGTTTTTGGAAAGAGGGTGCCCTGAAATCAGGCAAGTGGGCTGGATTCCTGTTGTGGGGTTTCTGCTGCCTCACGTCGTGGGCATATGCTCGTGGGCAGCAGGGGCCTGGTACAACTGCGGAAATTCAGGCTCTGAGGGTGATGGGTAGGGAGAGGGGTCCTTAATCATCAAGTAAAGCTGGGTCTGCATCAGTTACTTCCCCAAACCCCGGGGCTTCAATAACCATCTGCGGTTGCTCACACATCTGCAGATTGGTGGCAATTTAGCTCATCTAGTTGGGGCTTGGCTGGAGTCCTCTGCTTCAGGCCGTGGCTGCTGACGTTGTGTTGAGCTTGCTCTGCAACTCTTCAGTTCTGCATAAGAGGTCCGGCGGAACTTAAGGTCTCTGAAGTTCTGGACATAGAAGGGGTATGCCGTCATTTCTTGCCATTGGCCAAAGCAAGTCATAGGGCTGAATTCAAAGTTGGGGCAGTGTGGTGGATTAGCTAAGCTGGAGCTCTGTTTCTCAGAATGGCCTTTCTTGCATGATTCGGGAAGCGGGCTGGCCCCACAGGGGAAATGTGCACACTCTCTGCACAGGGAAAGTGAAGCCAGGGTCAGATCTCTAGCTGCTGCTCTCGCGGGCCATCTGCTTCTTGCCCTGTTGGTGTGGGCGGCAGCCACCCCACAGCTCCTTTGGTTCCACCAGACTTCTTTCTTCAGCTGCTCTGACACATGGGCTGGGCTTGTGGGCAGGTCCAAGTGGGGCCAGCGGGGGGGGGGGGGGTGCGCAGAGGAAGAATGCACCAACTCTTCTGCAGATCTGCCTAAATGTAGGGGGCTTGGAGGCAGTGAGACACCCACGTGGGAACTAGCGCATCCTCGTGGGCTCCAGTTGGTCATCGCTCTGCCCCGCTTTGCATACAGTTTTTCTGCCCAAGTGCTGGCCTTGCTGGCCTCAGGCCTGGCACCAGATGCAAGCACGATGCCCTTCAAGGGACTGTTTAACTCACTCCCGAGATCACAGAAGGTCTCAGTCCTATAATAAATCCAGTATATCCCTCATCATGATTCTGCTTCTCTGATGGAACCCTTACTGATGCAGCTAGGGAAGTACCCTTGGCCCAGGACGAGGCCAGGGCAAGGGAGAATAAAGAATTGGGGCCAGTCATTCATTCTCCCAGGATCACTATGTACTCCTTACAAAGACAGGGAGCCTGTGTGCAAACCCTTTCTGAATGTTTTTTGTAGGGGCGAAGGCAAGTGGCATTCCAGCTAACTTTCAGAATACAACAGCTTTAAAAACCTCTATGTCACATATTTCTTGACTACAGATTTAACCCTGCTGCACTGTCAATTTTAAATGATCCGAGAGCCTTTCAGACAGTGACCCCTCAAGAGAAGTTACCAATACTTCATTATAAAGGGATTTTTAAAAAATAGGCTCTCTTTTCAATCAAAGCTGAAGGTCAGATCACATTCTAACAAATGCTTCTCCAACGAAATTAGGTATAATAATTAAATTTCCAAGGTCTAAATCCTGACCCGCTTACTTGAAAGAATATTTGATAGGGTAATAGGGTAGAATAATTAAACAACCCTGGTCTCTTTAGGGTTCTTTTTAACAGGATTTGATCTTTAGTATAAATAATTTCTGCTCTCATTTGCCTACCACCATCCTGGATCCCCTGTTTGCTACTGGTCGAAGCTGTGGGCTTAAGTAACACTTTAAATGTGAATTTCCTAAGAAGCCTTTTGTGCCTTTATTTTTTCTTAAAACAATTTTGGCTTGCCTGGCCTGGGACAGTGGCTTTGGGGCTTTTGGGGAGATAAGACGCTTCGGTGTTTTCCTGACAGCTGAACTAAAGAAAACCTCTTACATGCACGTCATCTGATTTGCCTCCTGTCATTTTGATCTCTCCTTCTGACAGTTCCGATCTAATTTTTCTTTCTAAAAAGGGTATCAATTTCAAGGTTCAGAGTTCTTAGGGTTTAGAATCTTTGATTAAAAAAGTGAAATTTAATCTTGATTCAAGGGTAGGGAATGTGAACAAGTTTAGTAGGCTTCTCCTCTGATAGAAGACTCTTGTGACCAGTATTTATTATGGTAATGCTTTGTTATTATAAACCTCCTATGAATAATATTTTGGGGAACTACCACACAACAAGGCATGCATTATAACACCCCCATTGGGAGGGGGGGTGACATCAACGAACTGAGAAGCACAATTATCTCATGGTTATGCATGCCTATGAAGTGTGTTATTACTTTTGTTTTTTACAGCTTGTAGAATATTTTCATTGTAGGTGAAGCATCAGACACATTTTTATTCAAAGGAAGAGAAACAAAATGAAGGTTTGTGTGCTGTGTGTTCTGAATAGTACCCTGGTGGCCCCAATTCTCTAGTTGGGGAGCTAATTTATAACTGAGCGTCTCACGGGCGCCAGGACATTCTGCTTTATTGTCTGTGTCATGGTCTTCTGATATCTGTGGCACAAAAGAAGTCATTATTTGGAAATAGCGATTAGTCAGTTTGAACAGGAGGGCTTGCTGGATTGCCTGCAGTAAATACGGTTTTAGGTTGATTTAGTAGAAAAAATTAGTAAAGCTTGGTGTTTGCTTGCTTGGTGTCCTAAAAAGCAAGTAATCCTGCAGTTGACATTTACCTCTTTACCAGAGGGTTTAAGGCCCTACAGGCAGGGCCCTAGGGGGAAAGTAAGAAAATGCTGGGGAAAGAAATTGAATTAGCAACTAAATACTTACCAAGTGTCAAGTGATTAACTTAAAGTATCTCTTTTAATCCTCAAAACAACCCCCCAGGTGGACATTACTGAGCTTTTTTGCGAGGTGAGGAAATTCAGGAAGGTTGGGATATTCAAATGAGCTGCACCTACTGCTAGAACCTGGTGAGCAGATAGTCAAACCAGGGTCTGCTTGATTCTATAGCTTAAACACACTTTCATTCAACTAGCGCTTCTTAAAATGTGCTTAGAATGGGAATACTGTGGATGATGATGTGTGGAAAAGAGACACAGGGACGGATGGGCCATAATCAGATGTATTTGGGGAATGTTAGATTGAAGACATTTGTACACCTTTTACAAACAACAACAACTGCAGAACGTGTCAGAGCTTTTAATATACAATTATGCAGCATTTCTCAAATTTATTTGACCTGCAAATGTTTTTATTTTCCCCGAGAAAGAAACAATACTAGGGCCCTCACAAATCCATTTGCACCTCAAATGCTTTTCAGTGGGGCATTTGGTGGCATTTTTGTTCTGAGAAACACACCCATATCTCTGCAGCTGCTAGCCTGACATTCCCTCGCATCTGCCTGGGGCTCCCTCAGTCGTGCTAGATTTGAATCCAGAAAGAGGATTTTTTAACTTTTATTTTTATTTTTTGCCACTTAGGTATGGTTGTATGAACATTTTGCTCTGAGAAAAGAGTGAGTGAGCAAGCCGGAATCTGTGTCCAAGGAGGTAAGTGTGTGAACCCACGCCTTTGCTTGTCTTTTTATTTTGCATACGAGCACTCTGGCCACTTGTTCATGCTTCCTTCCTCGTACAGGCTTCTGCCCCAAGCTGGCGTGGGAGGCAGACCACATACATGGATGATGCTATAATGTGATGTGATGGTGGATGGATGCTGAAAGTATAATGGGCGCATAGAGGAAGGAGGGACTATACTGGAGAGGGGAAGGGGGGGCAGGAAGAGATGCCTAGGTTTTAGGGATGGGATAGGATTTAGTCAAGTGTGTAAGAGGAAAAGGGTGGTTCCCATTGAGGGAACAGTTCTAGGATAGGTCTGGAGCGTGGGATCTGTTTGAGGAAACAGAAGCAGTCCTAGCCACGGCTGGAACATAAACGAGGGGGCAAGGAGGAGGCAGAGCTGAGCTGCTGAGATGGATGGTGGTGAGACCGTCCATGGAAGACCGTGTATGTGATTTAAGAGACGAAATTCGTCCTGTAATTTATGGGGAGACATTGTGGGGTTTGAAAGAAACAAGCAGTAGGGTCAGATCTGGGTTTGGACAGATTCGCTCTGTGGATAAGGCCCCAGGCCAGAGATGAGGAGGCTGGTTATGAAGCCGGCAAGGGGACAGAGGGTGTCACCCGCACCACGGCAGTGCGAACAGTAACGGAGAGAAGAAGCAGATTTGCTCCATATGTTGGAGGGCGAAGGACTGGGGTTGATTGGAACTGAGGGGTGGAGAAGAGGAAGGACAATTAACTTCAGCTAGAGCATGGACTGGGAATGAAGGGCATGCCTATTCATTCTCATCTTTTACATCAGAGGGTATGAGAGACTTCCAAATGCGGAAGCCCCTTTATTAATATTCTCCTGTTCTCCTTGTTCATTTGTTTCCTGCTGAGGCCTGGAGAAAAGTGCTCGGGCAACTTAGAAAGAGGTCTTAACTTGGACTTGTATGCTAAGTGGTCAACAACATAGCTTGGCATGTAGAAAAGCCACAGGGTGTGATGTCAGACCTGGGCCCAATTTCCACATGTACCATGTCCTGGCTATGCTAACTTGGACAAGCTCCACAAATTGTAATGTCCTCATTGGCACACTTGGAAATAGCCTCTGCCCTGGGGTGCAGGTGTGAGTATGACTTACTTGTGGCCTTTCTCTATGTTGGCTGGGATCGATGTAGCCCATCCTGGCTGGCTAGGCAGGCAGCCCCTTCCTTCCTCACCTGAAGCTTTGTGCTTGGTCAAAGAGGTCGGTCTCCTTCTCAAATAGACAAGGACCATCCTTCTGATTTGGGTATGTGGGAAATTGTGCTCCTCTCCTAATCCTTCCAAATGATCCCTCAAGGTCCAAGAAGAAACTTGCAGGGTGTCTGTGAGGGCTAGAGGACATCACAGATATAAAACACTTTGTAAACCCTAAGGGTTTCTTCCATTTGGTTGTTATTATCCTGGACATGGATTCTGTTCTTTTCAGTCATAAAACTTATCTGCAGAGACTACCCTGGTAGGTTTTCCTCTCTGTTCCCTTCGCTTTGTACCGCTATTCCCCAATTGCTGTGTGCCCTTTGTGATTTGCTGTGTTGCTTCAGATGGTGAGTTACAGCAGGACTCCTGCTCATGTGCTTCCATAGCAAATGAAGGAATCACCCAACCACTAAGGCAGCCAGCGCCCTCTAGATGCCCAGAGGCTCTGAAGATCAAGTCCTAGTGCCCACGAGAACCTTCAGTGACTTCCTCTCCATCTGGGACCATAGAGGCCCTGTATTCATTTTCTTTTATTGTGTAATGAATTACCCCCCAAACCTAGCAGCTTAAAGTCAGACACATTTATGTTACACTTTCTGCAGGGCGGGTGTGGCTTAGATGGGTGTCTCTGCCTTGAAGGTCATTCACAAGGTTGCCACCGTGGCGTCAGCTGTGGCTGTGGTCTCATCTGAAGGCTGAGGGGGGACCACGCCCCAGCAGAATTCAGTTCCTTGAAGCCTACTGGTTGGAGAATTTCAGTTCTTCGCTTTCTGTCAGCTGGAGTCCTTCTCCAGTTCCTTGCCATGTGGACCTCTCCATAGGGCATCTCGTAACATGGCAGCTGGATTCCATCAGAGCAAGCACATGAGAGAGCAAGAAGGGTAAGACAGAAGACACCTCTTTTTGTAATGACCTTACTTGACTTAACAGAGTCAGGCTCCTCTAAGTCCTTAAAGCTCAGAACTTGGTTCTGTCTTTGGCCTGTTTATTCCAGGTTTAGTAAGAATCCTACAGAGTCGGTTTAGCCAGAATCCCCTACCCTTGCTATCTGACCACTCTTGATAACTGGTAAAATTCCTCATTCCCAACTCTCCATATCTTATCATGTTGGCCTGCCTTCAGGAAGAATTCTGCTGTGTCAGGTTAGCCAGATGCCCCTCATTCCTCCTGTTTCCTCTTAGTCATTTTCCATCCACTGATCGCCATCCTGCTCCACGGCCATAAATCCTCACTTGTCCTTCTTGGATTTAGAATCGTGCCCGATTCTAAAGTGAGACCACTCTTCCTCTATTGCAATAGTTCCCGAATAAAGTTTGCCTTCACTGCTCTAACTTCTGTGTGGCTCTGGTTTACTTTGACAGTAATCTCATAGCATCCCATATTCCATTGGTTAAAAGGTCGTCACTAGGTCCAGATCACCCCCTCGGGATGGGGTTGCATGAGGCTGTAACACCAGGAGGTAGTGAGCATTGGGGGTCATCTTAGAGGCTCTGTACCACAGGTCTCATAGGCAGTGGTCATGGGGCTCCCCCTCAGGGGCTGTCTCAAAATCTCTAAACTGCTGCTCTGCCTCCAGGGGTCCCTACCCACGACCCTCAGCTGGGCCCACGGTCCAGGCTTTAATTTCAGTGATATTCTTACAAAGCTCTCCCAGGACCCTGAGCCCTTTGGCTTTCGCTACTGGATGCACATTTGGTCTGGGCTCCTGCCAGGTTACTCTCCTCTGTGGACCAGAGCTCCTGGCTCCTGTTTTTCTGGGAGAGGGATCAGAGAGGAACCAAACTCAGTGTAGCACCCCAAAGAGTCACATTTGATGTCCTGTGCTTGCAAGACCGTGGGTTCACAATTGATCCAGACTCTCTTGATAACAAAGGCCTCCTTGCCCCCAAACAGAAATTTGTAACAGGTTGTGGCAGATGTTCTCTCTCGCCGAATGGTGCTTCTATCGTCCCAAATTTGTATCCGCTGTCTCTGAGGAAAGTTTGCACGTGGAACCATTAAGGCCTAAGATCTCCGTAAAAATCCTACATGAATCTTTAATGCCTTGAGAACCTGGAGTGACCTGCTGTTTCCACATGTAAGCAATCCTCTCTAACCAAGTTGAACATTTCCCTTTTGAGCTTGCTAACCTGTGGAAAATAAATATGAAAGAGCTTTTAAGATGCCTCCTGATCCCGGGGTGAGAGCAAAATTGCCCTTTTGTTTACCTTAGTGTAATCGGATCATTATCTAGCTGCCGCATTTGGATGAAGCCTTGAACACATACTAACCTGTTGACTGTGTTAATAGTAATTTAGGAAGACCTCTCAGGCTCCAAACCCAGCTTTTTAAAGCCGAATGTAGAATGGTCTTTCCGCGTTTTCTATGTTGACTCTCATTAATGATTTGGGTAAACATAGCTGAAAGATGACTACGTTGCTTTTTGGTGCCAGCCAATTATGTCAATTGGCTTTTGCTGGTGGAGGGTGTTTTTGATCCATAGAGTCTGTAAGAGGTGGAGTCATTGGGTGTTGGTTGACCTTGACCTGCAAAGGGGGAGGACTTACCTCTGTCTCTCATGGTCCAGTATCGGACTGCAGTGATAAATGTGGGGGAGTCCGTGGCTTTCCATCCCCAACGTAACAGAGTCTCACTCCCCAGAACCCACACAAGCGCCCAAAGGAGGTTTTGTGCTGCTCTTCTCACTGACCCTCCGCCTGCCTCCATCCACCCCAATTAAAGCAGCGAGGCCACGACCCCTGGCCGCTTTCCTGGTTTCGCTCAGCCGACCCACCCTCTCTCTGCCTTTGGAAGGCATGATGGATTGGTTTGAAACAAAACCATCTCATTCCCAAACTGAAAGGTTCCTTTTTACGTTTGGGAACAACTTGAAACTACTGGAGAAAATCATGTGCCAATTATGTATAAACTCCTTTACCACAAGGTATAAAGGAAGCCATAATTCGGGGGGCTTATGTTTGATTGAATTCATCTGTTTCCATTTTGTAAATAGAGCGCAGGGAGAATCCATAGTGGTGGACAGTTGATATAATGCAGCTTCTATTCCCCGGGCGAAAGAAGGGGTGGCCCTGTCGCTTCACTCCCTCAGAGCCAGGCTTCTTGGGTGTAAAGGATCACAAGAAACTCCTAGGCTGGAAGGGAGGTCAGCCTTGTTTGAGGCAGCGCCAGACTCACCCAGAACCAGAGACATAGAAGGAAAGGGACCCTGCTTTGTCAACCACCCAGCCAAGAAAAACAGCCTTCAACTGGGGAAACGCCCACCCCCCTTCCCCGGTCCGGGATGAGATTTACACTGATGGGTTTGTGTTTGCCAGCAGCTGACAGCTCAGACTTCACCTTTAACATCCCTAAGTGTGTTGGTACTAATTAGGTGAAAAATGAGATGCATTGTTAAAACTGGCTTTTCTTTCCTGCTTGGCAGCTTGACATTATGGGACACTGAAACCTCAAATTGCCTCACAGAAACATGCCCGAGGGTAACTGCATTATGGGGTGGGGGGAGAAAGACCCAGTAAAGGAAGAATAAAGGTCGCTTTACCATCATTTCCATCTGTTGTTAACGAAGGACTGACTTGTTAATGGGCATAGTAGATTAATCAATATCTCTTTCCATGTGTGTGTGGTTAGTGACCCTCTGATGTTTGGATACACTGGCTTGGAAGTCAAACTTGGGTGTAATCCCAGCTTTTCCACCTAAAAGGTGACATGACTTTTGGTCCCTTCCTGAGCCTCAATCTCCTCATCTGTAAAATGGGGATACTTCATTGAGCTGTTATTATTTAAATAATATTTGAGAATCATGTAACATCATAAAAATGAATTGTTGGACCTTTCCATTCTGGGCCTCTCATTTCTTGAGAAGGCTGGCTCCCGTATCCTCTATTTTAAATTCCCTATGATGGACCAAGATGATTCCTTGCCATGTAGCAGAGAATGGCCACCATGCTCAGAGGCGGCAGATAA